AGCTTGGTGGATGAAAATTTGCTCTCTGGACAAAAACCTCACCTCAGAATTCCGAATCCAACTCTCAACATATATTCTATGGTGGATTTGGAAAGCTAGAAATCTTTGGATATTCAAGCACTCTTGGAGAAATTCTCAATCAATAGTGGATGCAGCTATGAGAGATTGGCATGAAGGCAGCAACCCTCAACTGCTTCCTTAAATTAGTTTCTTTCTGCTTCTTTTTTCTCTTTTCATTAGTGTATCAGGTTCTACTTCTTTTGTTGAAGTTCTACTAGGCCCTTTGGTGCAGTGGTAGTCCTTCCTTTTGCTAGGCCGTTTATTTGTTTTTGCTAGGCCCCAAAATGTAGTTTCAAACTCCTGGTCTCAGCCTCTTGGAGTCTGCCAAAGTTTGAAGCCCAGTTTGGTTTTTTTTTGCTCTTTTTGATCACCTATGGGTGTTTTGTTTTATCCCTCGTGGATCCATTATTCAGGCTAGTTAGCCTGGCGATTTGTAAGTACCTTATTTTTGAGTGCAATATAATGTCTATCGTTTCGAAAAAAAAAAAAAAAAATAAACCTGTCAATAACTTGTAAGTTAAATAATATATTTCATCTCATTTAATCGGGGTATTTTTAGCAACTTAAACTTAAGTCGCCTGTAAGTTATATAATTCCATCTCTTTTGATTAGTGTTTGTTTACTATTCCCTCTTATTCATTATAAATATCGTTCTGACTTTTTTGATTCATGTCTAGATACATAACAAAATGGATGAATCAAAAAAGTCAAAACGACATTTATAATGAACAGGAGGTAGTAACTTTTTTTGGTACAATTTGTTTAGTAACTTTAAACCCGAGTCCTTAACTTGCAAGTAAAATAGTATATTATCCCGTTAGCACGTTTTTCTATACTTATTTTTGTTCTCCATAAAATACTCAATTATTATTTTCTATAAAATTTGTTGTCATATAATGTCAAATAGTACAAAGCCCGAGCGATGCACGGGGTGCACAATTTTAAGGCTATTTATACAGCCTCATAATTATATAAATGAATAAAAAAAATGTACGGGATATAAATAATACGTGACCTGTGCGAGACACGAGATATATTTATTTGGAGAATATTATATTATAAAATACAATATTCAATAAAAGTTTTATAATAAGCAGAAAAATTGTACAAAAAAATAGTATTCGAAAAAGAAACAATCATATATTATGAAAGACCCAGAAATTCTATGGTGCCCATACCATGCCACAATATGATGTGGCATGTGATGTGGCTTAATTAATTAGGTGGCTGTTTTTAAGAAGAAAAAAAATCATGCCAATCTCTGTAACATCCAAAACAACAAACTCATCTCTTGTTACCCATATCTGTAAACACTCCATCGCATCAACATCTAATGCTTTCTTCATGGACTCTTCAGCCATGGAAATCACATCAACATCCAATGCAATCTCTAAATTGTCCCAAATTGAATACCAATTTTTGAAATTCACTCCCTCTTCAACCCATGTTAAGCCTAGGAACAAAAATCCCTCCCATTTCCTCATCAACTGCTCC